AAAAAAATCTCCAAAGTAGCTTTTCTGCCACCATGATATTTTCATGTGGAAGGCAATATCGTTTATTTTATTTTATCTTTATTTCTCTTCTTATATTACATCTTTTTACAACTATATATATATAATTATTTTAACAATATTTACCTATGTACATTTTTATGGTTATTTAAGAAAAGTTATTTTAACATATATAAAAAGAAAAGTACAATAAGTTTTTAAAGGTCATACAAATATATTTTACAAAAAGAAAAAGTACGAAAGGTCGTACGAATAATTTTACCATTTAAAATATATTTAACAATATGTATATTAAATTTATATATAATAAAGTTGAAATTATTCTTGCCCCTAAGATCTAGACCCGCCCATTTAGAGCCATGCAATGCTCGTAAATATTCATAACAATTATATGAGTAACCATATCTATTTATACCCCCCCCCACCCCCCGTACTCATATATACCATATTAAGGTATAACCAGGCTTGTTTTATACCCATCCAACATCATATCAATATTTGGTGTTTGATACCGATAAAATTATTCCTGACCCCCGTAATAGCTTCACCTATCGAGAGGTGGTGCTTGGGTATTTTCCTATTCGGTAGATCTTTTAATTAACTAACGATTGATACCTTATTAACCATATATTTATATAGTTTAATAAGGTCAAGAAAAAATATCTTAAAATGTATGGGTCTGTGATGTGGGGTTCGTGGTGATGGCTGGTTAAGTCGATTTTTAGATCAAACCTCAGGTTTGGGTTTTACACAAAACAACACTAATATAAGTAATCGATTTTATAAAATTTAAATTAACCTATTAAGTTCACGACTCAAATTCTAAACTCAATCAGAACTCGAGTGGTAAAAATAAGTCGAAATTTTGACTTTGACTTGGAGTCGAAGTTAGGAGAATTCGATTATTTAACAATACTTATTACATCAATAAAAAAAAAATAAGGGCACAAATTCTACATTTTGTTAAAATTGCCCAACCCAAATATTTCCTTAATTGTGGAATAAACAAGGGCAGTCTCGAAACTGTACAGCCATTTATAAGGAAAAAAGGGAAGATATCTGATTAACCGGTTAATAACAAGACGGAACTCTATTTATAACTCCGTGAAATTTAGTCTTAGAATAACCAATTTGACAAATCTTGTGATAAATCCTAATTGCAGAGATTTTCAGATAATGACAAGCCATTCATAAACATATTGCATGGTGTGTTAATTAAGAAATAATATATATGATTTTATATGTTAAGGGATTTATTGCTACGGCCCTTTTGATTTTAGAACATCAAGGATAGCTCATTCCCACAATAACCATTATAATGATAACTTTAAAAATTAAATAATTTCAAGTTTCGCAAGCCACTTATTAATGCAATTATGCAGGACATAGATAAAACTTATACAGTTTAAATCAGGGACCCGAACCTTTATTTATAACGGTTCAGTATGTAAAAAATTATAATGATTACATTTTGGTTACGGTTCTTAAGAAAAAATTTATAAAGATTCGGTTCGGTTCAGCTAATTATGAAGGTTCAATACGGTTAGAAATTTTTTTTTTGAAGCAACACCATCTTCTAATTTATTTTTATTATAATCATCTATCATAAGATTCAAAATAACTCATTTTTAAATATATTATTTGAACATATAAGTAATATATTTTCTAATATAAATGGATTCCTTTTTGTTCGTTGTGACGATAACACAAATTTTAGCTCAGAAAAGGCCCTTTCTATAGAAACTTGTGTTGCAGGAACCGCCAGTACTTTAAGAGCAAGTTTATATAATTCTGGATATTCAAATTATTTCCATTTCTAAAATATAAAAACTGAACCGGGTTAACCTTTTTTGATAAAGGTTCTTTTCACTCCTTCAAAAAATAATTATATCGGTTAGGTTACGGTTATGGTTCAGATATTTATAACGGTTTATAATGGTGTAACTGTTCGTTACGGTTCACTCAGGGTCCCTGATTTAAATATTGTTTACAATTTAGATTATATTTATTTAATATATTCGAACTTATCTATAAAGATGAATATATACAATCAGCAATAAATCACCCACTATTTAAATTAGATTAACTTTGAATAAAATTTTAGGTCAACAAAAGTGGAAAGTTTGAACATATTTCTAGTTTGAGAAAATATTTTGGTAAGGAAAAAGCAGACTTTGATTCCTTTAAAAAATAACACACTTACCAAATCATTTTCTGATAAAGATAAAAAAAAGATGTTGATGAGGATCTTAAAAAAAATTATTTTAAAAATGATCTATTAAGCTTTTTTCAAAATAACTTTAATTATTAATAAAATCTTTCAAATAACATTTGTATTTATCAAATATAATAACCCTCCCATACTCTGAGCCAGTTGAACGTGTGCGTAGTATGGTGAAAGATGTGTTGAGCACTCTCTTGTTTATCTGATCCAAATTTTGAATATTAATTGTTAAAAATAAATAAAAAATATCTTATAATATATTATTGTAAAATTCTATTTATATTATATATAAAAAAATTATTATAAAAAGATCTCATCTTATAATATATTATTTTTATATATAGGAAATATCTGTATATAATTTTTAATTTTTCCAGTAACTAGTTACTTTCTAAATAGTAAGTAATGCGCGTTCCTTTTTTCACAAGGTAACGCGTTTTTTTATGTAGAGTAACGTGTTTCTTTTTTGAAGTAACGTTTACAAAATTCTTATTATAACTTAGAGATTCTTTCTGTGATAATGTTTTCCATCGATCTGTTATATTGGTTAAAAAATCAAAGAATTTTTTTTATTCAATTTAAAATGAAAACCCGCCAATAATTAAGACGATCGGGTAAAATTAAAAGAAATAACTAAAAATGCCGTTGGTATCATCAAAGGCAAAATGTCTAAATGTTTGAAGTTTATTCCTTGAATAGCACATACTATTAGTCTAGAATTATAATGCAACATTACCAATCATTAGCAAGAGGCAAAGATATAATATTAATTTGATCTCTGCCAAAAATTAAGTATAACATGGTAAGAAAGAAAATAAGATGAGTTTAAAGTAATGTTGTACGAGTCCCTTTATTTTTGATGAACGCGTTCGTTTAATTTTAGAAAATCTTATATTTATTCATTTGAAAATAAAAAATATTAACCCAAAATTTCAAGAAAGTTGTTATTTCTCAATCAAATGTTTCCTTTTTCACATTTAAATTATTTAACCAGCGTCCTATGGAATAGTTTATTAATTTGAAAATTATTTATAGATTAGGGTAAGTTGTTAATTGTCATCATCTGATTCTGAAAATTCAGAACTAGTTAATTAATATTACCATGGCCCAAATATAATAAATACTTTACAGTAACATCATATCTACAATAAACTATGTGTCCAAAAAAAAATATCTCAGTTTCAAAATTTTCAAGTTCTAATTTAAAACGAAACTTGATTGTATAATTTATTATTTTAAATATAACTATAAGTATCCTTTAATAATTTTTTAGATTGTTGTATTTCATTATTAAATTATGATGATAATTTATAAAATAATTAATATCTTTTAGTATATATTTATTTTGGTGTGATTTAAAATTTCGCTATTATTTTTATCAAGGGTTTTATATTTGAACACTATTTAAAGTATTATGAATATATATTTTATAAATAATTAAATTTTATATGACATAAAAAAGTTTTTATATTAAAATTAATAAAAAAAATTTTTTTAATATAAATAACTTTTTATCCACTTAAAACAAGGGTTGTGTGTTTGACCGGTCAAATATGATTTGGTAAATTGACCAGTCAAATTCAAATAAATGTTTTTAAGTCAGTATTAACTTTATTTTGTATAAAATAGTAAAATGAATCTATATTAATTTTATAATATTTTTTAAATCCATTGTCATTTAATAATTAATGGTTCGTTCTCCGTGGCAGAGCTTTAGTTTGATTAATATTCAATATTATTATTCTCATTAATTAGGAATTGTTAGTAAAATGCCAACTCTCTTAAATAGCACGGTGGCCATGCCCAATCTACTAACTTGAGACCAAAATATGATGGTTATTGTGGAATTAACTGCTTTCAATATTATTTTCTATTAAACATGTCCTTTTACTTCTAAAATTTATGATATCACTTGAAATATTTAGATCATCACCACAATGTAACCTAATTCTTGTATTATATCACATTGACTGACCCAATAAATAAGCATTGTGATCATATGTATTTATATCGTTTTTTTCAAGCATATTTTTCTTCAGATTTCCTTAGAGTATTTGACCTCGGCCAATTGACTGTAACCGACTTGCCAACGTTAAATATTAATTTTAAACATGGCTAATATATTGTATTATATATGCTATTTATTCAAGGAGTTTTGAACAAATGTGAATGCATTTCTTTTTTTTTGCAGGTGAACGTGTTCGATTTTTGTCAATGAACGTTGAAAGGTTCAATTTTTTTAGAAATATTTACAGCACTAGTAAAGTAAATTCATTTTTATGATTCTGGAATGACCTAGTCAACTTGATATTATGAGTCAAGATAACATTTTATGGTACTATATTTTAAGGAAATTTTTCAAAGAAAAAGTATACAAACAAGCTATTAATTAATTTTTATAAAAAATTTCTCAAGGATCCTTGCATAATATATCCAAACTTAAACAAAGTAAGATTTCTATAAAAATAAGAAAATGAAAATTATCTATAGAAAATTGAATTATTATTTTCTCGGAACCTAATTAAATTTAACATTTAAATAACATTATTATTGCATTCAAAAGTTCTAGTTATGAAACTATGGCCAGGTAAATATTATCGGAATTAGAATTATTGATAAAAAATAATAATTTACAAATACTATCACAATTTTTTTTATTATCAAAAATTAAATATTATTAAGTTTTACACACAATTTACATACTTTGTACAAAAAATATATTAAAAAAATATTCTAATATAAAATAGTAAAATCGTGTAATAAATAAAATGAGAGTATTGGTTATACTACTTCGAGATTATATTATAGGGTTAAAAATTTATGAATTATATTAATTTATAGTTTGTTATAAATAGAAAAAGTTAACAGAAATTAAATTGTCGTGATTAAAATAAATTTATATCAAAAAAATCTAATTCATTGACAATTTTATTTCAATCATCTTCGTCAGATTCGGAGAAGTTAAATTTTTTCGGTATACATGCCCGGCCAAGCCTAGCTCTGAGAGGTAACGGGCTACCGCCATTTTGTTTATCACTCTTGTCATTCTCATAATCGATGTGCTCAACCTTAAACTCATCGTCGTCGCCTTCAGACGAAGATAAAAAGTTTGGGATAGAGACTACCGTTTTTTTCTCCTTTTTATGAATAGTAGGTTTAGCCGATTTTTCTCCGTTAGTCATTATCTGGTGACTTTTTACACCTTTTCTATTATCCAGAATTGGTTTTTTGATCTTATTTGCTTCAATGTTTACCTTTTTGATCTCATTTGTTTCAATATTAGCTTTTTTGATCTCATTTGTTTCAATATTAGCTTTTTTGATCTCATTTTCAGATTCAACTTTCGCTTTTTTAGGAGGACTTTGAATAGAAGAGTCGTCTTCTTCTTCGTCTATGAGCACGATATCGTTCTTGTCGTTGGCGGTATCGGGGGTTTTGTTGGATAATGTAGCCTTGCGCTTCTCCTTAGTTTCCTTGGCCTTTTCTACTTTTATTTTTAGGGCTTCGTCTATCGCGGGAATTACTCGAGTGCCTCGGATTGACGGAAGCGTGTCAGAGCGATTTTTCGAATTAATTTTCTAACAATTTTTTAATTGATTGTGGATGGGGGGAGGGGAGTTTAGTAAATAATTATTTAAATATTGAATTGCAATTTAAAAATGAAAGTGAAGTAGAGCTTGGCAATCCGGCCCAAAGTGCGTCTCGGACCTAAAAATATTTCGGACCTCGGGCCAAGTCGGTTCGAAAATATAAGAAATTCTAAAAATTTAACGTAGAAAATAATTGTTTTCTATTGTTTTGTTAAATTAAAATGACAATTAGAATTTATCTGTGATTATCACAAAACAATTAGAGATTTTACATAATTTATCTACTTAAAATGTGACAAAAAAACTATATATACCCGAGCAACTTTGCTTTTACCAAGGGCCGCTTTAGCTGGTTTTTCGTCACGACTTTCTTCCAATTCTTTGGTTTCCATTTTTGCCATTTCTTGCATTAAATTGTCTAAATCTTGAACCCAAAGGGTTTGCTCTGTCTGAGATCTTAATAATTGCAATTCTGTATTCTTTATTAAATAAAAATTTCGATTAGCTCTGCTGAAGCATATAATAAATATGGTGAACCTATTTTTTTTAAAAAAGCAAATTTTTAATTTTAAGATCTTGAAAGGAAAAAATGAATCAATATTTAAGGAGAACAATTTATGTTATGTTTTTTAATCAAGAATGCCATGTAAAATATATATATTATTATTAAATTGTTGTTTATTACTTAAATGCAATGGTTTTTATATTGATATGTTTTTTATTCTTCTGGTAAGCAAACATTTTAAATTTATATGTTAATTAATATTTGCTAAGTTTTCTTCATTGAACCTTTTCAAATAAATGTATATCAACACAATTCAACGATCTCCGAGCTATGATATATTTAACAATACTTCAAAATATTATTTATTCATAGAGATGTTAGAGACTTTAAATGAATTTATAATTTATTTTAGAAATGAGTGGTTGGATTATCTATAAACAATAAATGGTTTGAGGGGTATAGGAATAATATTCCAAGCTCCAAAAAAGCTTTAGAGTCAATTTACAAGAGAGGGGTGTAAACTTCTATTTAGATTTAAAGTTGTTGCTATGGATATGGTAAAAAAGAGCTTGTCTATGGCTTATACTTCAAAACAGAAGAAATTTTCAAAAAACAGTAAGTTTAGAATTGTACTTCAGCTATTAAGCAAAACAAAACTACATTATTTTTTTTAAATAGATGATTGAATAATATATTATATCTCATCTGATAAAAATATGATAATTACATAAGCTGTGATTTGACTTAATTTTCCGTGTCTTTTTTTTTCATGAAATATATATTATTATAACAAGTGCAGAAATATTTTTTATAGTAGCCGTTTTTAATTTAATACACAAATCTTTTTAATTTAATACACAAATCTTTTTAATTTTAAACAAAGCATTTACCAATTCAAAACATACCATATTGTCAATTTCTTTGTTATTTAAAATAAAATTTAGATCATACCAATATTATTTGTACTAATGAGAAATTTCTTAATTATCGAACATTTAGTGAAACTTCTATAAAATGGCCTACTCATGCGGCTGCCTTTTGATCAACATATAAGAAGAGACTTAAATTATGTATTTTGAAAAATAAGTATGGGCGAATATAAAGAGGTGGTAGCCATTTGGAATTCGCAATGTTTTCCATATGAAATAAATAATATTTTGTTTGAGAGCATAAAGTTTTGAATTTCAAATTTATTATTTAAAAAAAATAATACAATGAATTTTTGTTTTACTATCCTAAATTTAACAATTTTTTCAGGGTAATGTCAATGCTTTAATATGAGCAATTGAGATTGTGTAGTTTCTTACAGGTGCAGAATTTAAAATGTTTAGTCATTGCTATAAAGGAATGTAAGAAAGTTCTTAATTTTTAAAATTTATAAGACAAAGGATTTCCTTCAAAACTCATACGATTACGAAAAAAAATATGCACCAGATAAGAACTGCTCATAAACTTAAATAAAAACATTGGCATTTCCTAAAAAAATAAAATATTATTAAAATTGTATTGTTATATAAATATTAGGAAATTCGCAATAATACAATGTAAAAAGATCATTTAAATTTATTTTAAAAAATTATTCAATACTTTAGCCTTTTGTTTTTGTATCAAATCCTCGACCCTTTCCTTAGTCAAGCTCCATAATGCCATTCCTAACAAATAATCAAAATCTATATTGCCTTTTTCAGTTCCAACTTCGTCAGTATTTTCTACTTCAAGGTCTTCTTTAGACACGTTGACCTTCCAAGTCTAAATTTATTAATAACACAATTAGGGCAGTGACGAGCCACCATATCCGATATTATCGGATCAGTAAAAATAAAATAATTTGTGTAACCGGTATAGCTCTTATACTTATAATTTTTTAAAAAATTTATGATTGATAAAAAAATCTTATTTATAATTATAAAACTACAATTAACTATTTAGATGTGAGGAATGCACATTGCACACAAAATTTTGTGCCGATCAAGTCTCAAATATTTATGTATATTATGCTAAATTTTTTAAACCTTAACGGGATCAGATTCGTACCCTCTACTTATAAGCGTCTTAATTAGTTCATTGCGTTTAACGTTCTCAATAACAATGTCCCCGCGAATCTTTTCCAGTATAAAACGTGCTTGAAAATCCAATTTCATAGCCTCGGCCGTCAACAAACCGTCTAGGTAAACTTTGCGTTTCTTATAAAAATCGAGTCGAACCCAGAAAAAGTCTTTCAAAATATCTAAGGGGCTATTGTACCGATTGATAACGCCATTGGCATCGAATAAAACCATGCTACTGGTTGATATGGTGTTTTGAAGTTTGAAGAACTTGTGCAAACCCTACATTTAAAAAAAATGTGTTATGGAAAAAGATAATAATAGCGTAATAATTACCTCCTTTTGAGCGTCTCTAAATTTTTCTTTGCTAATCTTGATAACAAATTTGACCGTTGTATCCGTGTTGTATTCCTTGTAATCCAGAATAACGGGCGTAATCTTTTCGGAACCATTTAGCAATCCTTCTAAAACAGATTCTTTGTAATCCTGAGTCCACTTCTTAATAGGCAATTCGGATATCTCGAGTTCTACAACCTCTTTGTTGTTACCTTGTGATGCATTCATTTATATTATAAGTATTAAATTTTCACTTGGTAAAAAAAAAAATTGCGTAAAGAATCGAAACCATAATCCGTAGGTGCCCCCCCCCTTAATTAGTTCCACGAGCTGCCTCTGAAACGGATTCAAGCTGATTTTCCGACTACCGTCTCGAGGCGTAACCAATTTTTTTAGTCACCTTATTAACAAACACTATCCTAATCTGATTTTATTAAATTAATTCAGATATTTTATGGTTATTTTTTAAAAAAATTGTTATCTAATCAATTTGAAAGTCTTATGCAGATCGTTTTTCATACAACATAAAGACAAAACATATTTAACAAAATAAGACATTCGATAAAAAAAAAATATCTACGAGGTTTAAAAGTAAAAAAAAACTTTCGTAGTCGCCTCTGTCCATGAACTCAATTTCATCATCCATAACATTCTGAGAGAGCACACTGATCTCCCCAAAAGTTGCTATCCTCTCCGAGTCTACCTCCAATATACTACCTCTAAAGCCTTTGTAACTCGGAACCATGTGAGTGGTTGGCAAATCACTAATATTACCAAAAGGCAGAGTGATGGAGGCTTCAATCATGACCCTTAAATTTTTAATGATATCCTTGAGATCATAATTCGGAACTTTTGTGCTCCAGCCAGTGCCTATTCCCTCTGCCCCATTAATCAAAACCATGGGTACAATGGGGATGTACCATTCCGGCTCTATTCGAATATTATCGTCTTTCATATACTTCAAGAGTGGTTCATCAAAAGCCGGAAATATGGCTCGAGTTAAGGGATTCAAATACGTAAATATGTAACGAGGACTGGCAGCGTCTTTACCACCGTGAAGTCTGGTGCCGAATTGACCTATGGGTAGGAGCAAGTTTACATTGTTTGATCCAACAAAATCTTGAGCTAAATTAATTATTGTACCCATCAAAGAAGCCTATTAAAGCAAAAAAAGAGATAAAAATTGTAATTATTTAATGTCCATAGATCTTAAATTATATAATCAAAAACTTTGATTTAGCAGATTTTTTTTAAAAAAATTAATAAATAAATCAAAATTTTAACCAAGATAATATTAACCTATGCCTCGAGATGAAATTTCATTAAAGTATGACAAAATGTTTTGGGCCTAATTTTTGAATAATCATCTCAATGTTTAGGAATGATTTTTTTATAAAATCTTGATTTAACCATTTTCAATATTTGATTAATATTAAAAACTTGTGAGAAATATCACAAGAGATAAAAATGAAATAACTTCGCCATGGTGATATGCCGACAATTCTCCAACTGAGCCGGCTAGCTGAGCCACTTTAACTTCTCTCTTATCATTACGTTTAAAGCATGTAAATAATACTTTTCTTTGACCAGGTTTTAAACCTAATATTTATTTTATTAAAAAATATATAAAAAGTTATTAATAATTATTTAAAAAGTGCTTTTTAAAAAATAATTGAAATACCATCGCATAAGCTTGGAATAGATCTTTCGTTATCCATATTACTGAATAGGATCAATTCTTTGTTTATAAAATCTGCATATGATAATACGGACGTTTGTCTCCCGTAGAGAAAGAACTATTAATTTTTAAATATATAATATTATTACTTTTCTTTTTTTAAAAAAAAATAAATTAGATTTCAGATATTTAAATAAAAATATTCAATTATAATAAAAGCTTGCATTCTCGAAAATTGTCTTTTAAATTGTTTCAATCGATGGCAATTACTTATTCTCATACTAGAAAAATGCTTTAGACCATTCTTATCTACGCCACCAGATCAAATTCTTAAAATGCTCTCCTGAATATTAAAATCGGAGACCTGTAAGAGTTTCAAAACTTTAAACCAGGCCCTGACTAAAAATAAATTATTTTCAGACCCGGACTTGATCTTTTTTAATTTTCTTTAATTTCTCACTTTGGGCTAGGTTAGGTTGATCCGAATAATATAGTGGGATTTGGATCTAAGTATTCCACCATTTTAACATAACCGAGTAACATCATTTAGGTCAAAATTAACCAGAATATTGTTACTCTATTTTTAGACAGCTGCCACAAACTTGCTTATTTGAAAAGATCTGGGAAAAAATATTTCATAGAGGATACTTGTCTAAATTAATAAATTTCTTGTTATGGAATCATTTTTTTTATCCCAATAAATAATAGATTTTCACCCTTATACCAATATATGATTCCTAATAAAGATTATGAGGGATGGGTTGTTCCATAAAAATATATAATCAGTAGACCCTTTCATGCCTGATAATTTTGTGACGTACAATTTATCCAATCACCTTAAATATATTTTTAATTATCCACTTAAATGTAGGAATTATTGGATGATGCTCATATTTCGATGTTCCCATTTTTAACTTATTTTTATCGGAAGGATAGGCATACATGTATTAAAAATATGTTTTTTAATTTCTTAAATTGATGATATAGCTTTAGATTTGAATTTGTGATATTTTAGCATCTCCAACCTTTTTTTAGATATGAATACCCTTCAAAAAATAATATTAATTTATGTCCTGTAGATTCTATATTTCAATTTTCGGATATTAAATAAAAGTTAAATAATGGAGGCAAACTCTCCTATTATCAAAAATTATATTTTATAAATATGAATAAAAAATATGCATTCATATTATAAGGTGTATTTTCCCTTAAATAAATACAAATAGAGATGAAAGTTTTAAAAATAAAAAATAGTGAATTTCTATTGGTATTAGCTTTGAGACCTTGATATGATTAAAAAAACATATTGATTGATAAGGTTCATAAATTCCAAAAAAACGCATTTTGAAAATTTTGAGTTAGACAGTTTTGCAGTAAGAACTATTAATATAATTTGGTATGCATAAACTAAACATTACTATGGTACAGAATTATTTTAATAATTTATGAACCTCGGGCAATTGCTGCAAGCGTCTGCTTTTACGAATTTCCATCCAGTTCCTCAACCAATCTTTTCTATCTTCTATCCGCTTTTTACTGAATGCCTAAATCCATTTTAAAATATTTTTTAATTTTAGGGAACAAATAAAATCAGTTATTTATATTTATTGTTTGAATTTTCAAAAAAATATAAAAGATATATAATAGTAAATTTAATTTATTAGTAAAACCTCCAAATAATATTAAAAATGCTTACAGAATATTTTATGAAATCGAACTCTTTCTCGAAATTTCAATAATTTAAATACTGTATATACCAATAAGATAGAATCGTCATCATCATTGCCCTGATACTTAAATTTAATCCTATGGACAGGCATGTTGTTAAAATATTCCTTGGCTTCTTTAGCAGTAGATGTTCCCAACCCTTTAAAGAAAAATTAGACCAATATATCACAATAAAAAAAATAATTGTTGTTATGTAATTGTTTATTTTTTTTATTATTATTAAAAATGTGTGTTTATTTTTTTTTGTTTATCGTGAAAAAGAAATAGAATTATTATTATATAACATATATTGAAATTGCGATAATTGTAATATATAATTATTATTTTTAGTTTTAAAAAGAAAGAAATAAAATATTGTGTGTATAAAAAGAAATAGAATTATTATTATATAACATATATTGAAATTGCGATAATTGTAATATATAATTATTATTTTTAGTTTTAAAAAGAAAGAAATAAAATATTGTGTATCTATATTTTAATTTAATTTAAGAGGTTAAAAAAAAGTACATAAACCAAAGTTAGAAAGTTGTGACCAATTAAGTAATCTATATTAAAAAAATAGAGTCATAAAAATTATATTACCTTTGTAGTATTTGACCTTCCATAAATGCCAATTTGGCGTTTGATTTTTCCATTCCTCAAACTCTGGTATGCTGAAAAAACTTTTTTCATCTTTACCTTTAAATGCCTTGATGGGTAGATGGCGGGGGAAAAAAATTTTTTACAACATTTTTAATATCTATTAATTTAGTTATTTTCAATAAGTTAAAAGATGTTTGCTCAATCATTAAAATTATTTTTTCTCCCCCTTCTTATCAAATCAATAAATTCTTAAGTTACAACTTCTTTTTAAAGTGGGCTAATTAGTTCGCATTCGTCATCGGATCAGTTTTAAGCAAATAAAAATTTTGAAGAATCGACAATAGTCTTTATTTCAAGGAGATGCTTTAATACCAACACAGTTTCAGCTGATATTGGTTAAATGTATTGGATCAGTCTTTTTACAACTTAAATCATATAAAAAAAGTTCGTAAATAACTTTGACGATTGGAGTGATGAATTGATCTAGAAAGGATTGTTTAACCAGGGATGGCCAATTATAATGAATGAAATTGATAATGAGGCCTTTGATGTGAGAGCCATCTTGATCTTGATCAGCCATTATCATTATTTTACCGTAACGCAATGTTTTTAGGTCTTCGAGTGAATTGTATTGTTTTTTGTATTGTAACCCAATGATCCGAATCATGTTGTTGATTTCGACATTTTCCATTAGCTTTTTTTGTAAAAAATATATTTTTATGATAATACTAACCTAACTTCATATAACTTGTGCAAATATTTTTTTAAAAAAATAACAAATTTATATTTAAAAAAAACATTTTGATTAAAAACGACAACGTGTATTTTAACTTATATATAATGTAAAACTGCAAACACATGTTCTCTTATATATTATCATATAAGACCTGTTTATGAGTTGCTTCTCGCACGTTAAGCAATTTACCCTTAAGTGGAAATATGCCAAATCGATCTCTGCCAACGACTCCCAAGCCAGATATGGCCAACGTTTTGGCTGAATCCCCTTCAGTCAGGATTAACGTGCAATCCAGCGAATTTTTCGTACCTGCGTCATTGGCATCATCCAATTTGGGGATTCCTTTCAATTTTGAATGCTTTTTCGCATGGCATTTAGTGTTCAATTGACTCTATTTTAAAAAAGGAATATAATAATAATAAAGATCAAATGAGTCAAAAAAAATCAAACCTGAGCCTTATATTGAATCCAATTCATGATATTCTCAACGATTCCTGTTTTTAGGAGTACACCGAGAAATTTTTCGGAAACTGTACATTTAGAACCAAAGGATTTGGATTGTAAAGTCATGTTTTCTTTCGTTTGAGAATCGAAAGTGGGATTCTCTATCAGACAATTCACGAAAACCCACAAATGATTTTTGATCTTTTTTTAAAAATCATTACAAAAGATAAATGGTTATTCAGATGAAATATAAGATGGATATTAATAATATAAGGTTTTATAGCTGATATACTAAATAAGAAATATATTGTGAGTCTAACTGCAAATACCCCCTAACCATTTTTTTTCTCTTTCTTTTTAAGAAACCTTTTTGGCATGATCAAGATCGGAATGTCTAATTTTTATCATATACTTCTTTGATTTTTATATATCTTCCCCAATCACTATTTATTTTTGGCATAATAAATGATTAATCATTTTGATACAGTACATTATAAATGTTATTATTTAAATATTCATCTTATTAAATTATAATAAATCTATATTTATTTTACTAATATTAAAATAAGGATTATTTTGGTACCTGCTGTTATATTCAAAAAAATTAGTTAAGCGTTCTTTGCAGTGAGAAACCGTAGGTATAAATAATTTTAAGGATATACTTGAAAAGGTTTAACTTTGACTCCCGCCTTATTTTTCTTTTTTACAACATCCATCAACTTATCAACTACTTGATCAGTTATGTAATCGACATGTCGACCACCCTAATTATATAATAAAAAATTAAATCAATTTAGTTAGCTTAAGGTTGGGCATATTCGTCAATTTGGCGTCGCTAGCTTTTATAAACCTGCTCAGCCAAAAAAATGCTTTTCTGGTAAATAATAGAAAATTATTACAAAGCATTCTTTAACTCTTTGCCTATACTTTTATATATTCTATCTAAATCATTTAAATAATCCCAAAAATAATATCATAAACACACGTTAATTACCTTAACAGTGCAAATGCTATTAACGAAGCTTATCGATTGAAATCCTTTATCACTGTTAGTCACCGCTATTTCCCATCTATCGCCTATTTTTTCGTATGCTAATTTTATGGCTTCATCATTTTCGTCCACAATTCCTTTCGTATACAGATCGATGTAATCTTTAAAATTGCTTATCTACAATTATTTTTATTTATTTCAATAAAAAAAGGTGAAAATAAAGATATGGCATTAAAAAATCATCGTCTTCGACATTTTGAGAATTGTTTAACAGATATATAAAAAAATAATTTTAAGCATGTGTAATATTAAATTAAAAATTACAGCCAATCTTTTGTCGTTAAGATAAACTTTAACCCCTCCCCACGTTGACGCCGCGATATCGTAGGCTCTCTTGGAAAAGAGATCGGTTATATCTTTGTCCAAGTTCACCATCTTGAATTTGCTTAAATCCGGTTGAAATGTGACGCACGTGAAATCGGTTCCAGAAAAATCAGAAATTTTTGGGTCAGAGGTACTTGACATGTTATCGCTCCAGGTCTTAAATAATATTTAAATTTAATAATTCATTCATTTACACGTTGATCTGCGACCTTTCCTTTCTAAGTAAATTAGGAGAAACCTTAGCTGATTTTTTTAGCAAGGAAGCCGACAAATCCTTAATTATTCATTAATAGTTGGTTAGCATATAATTAATTGATCATAAAAATTTTTTTTAAATATAACTGGTGATTTTATTTATATAATAAGAGTGATTGGAAAAAAACACCTCAATTTACCGGAAATGTATTCTAGAAAGTTTAGAATATCTACTCAGCGATTTCATGATTTTAAAGTTAATATAATTTAAATTATATATTTTTTTCATAGATTTTTTAAGTATAGATTATAAAATGATTTAAAAGTTGAAAGGGCAAAATTTTCTGGAATTTTTATGGTAGAGGTATTCCTAACATGCTGAAATACATTTCCGGTAAAATACAAAAAACGCGCTCAAGAAAATGGATCTAAAATTAAAAATATAACACATTTTAACTTATCATATACAATTAATTTTTCAAAAAATAGTAATAATAAAATGGCAGAACAAATTTTCGCTTCTGGCGAGATAGAACAATTTCATTTATTACTATGGCGCCATTTTCTTGTAAAAATAGCGATTCAGGGTTTAGGTTAGGTTCGTAACAAAAAAATGATATGCATGATCGTCTGCTTTATTTAATGCTCATATTATATTGTTTTCAACGTCATTCATTCGAAAAAATAATTAAAATCTAATTTGTATTTATGGAGAGAAAACAAAAAAAAATGCCTTTTGAATTTCAAAAATAAAATAGACCTTTAAATTTTGATACCATTTTTTTAGTTACTTTTTTGTCTCGTTTATATGTTTAATAAAAAAAAAGAAATTTAGTTCCAAGTCCTAAAAAGAAATGTAAGGGAGAGCTAATCACTCAAAAGTTATCGATTTATATTAACCATACACGAATTATGAAATGAATAAAAGTAGGGCTGTGCCGATATTAAAATATGAACAAAAATGTGCATATCTCAGAATTGCTACAAGATAAGCAGTAAATTTTTAATGAATAACCATCTTGGAATGTTACAAAAAACTTTAAAATAATTTATCAATCAATATTTCAAAGAAGAGTCAGCGTAGGCAAATGAAATGAGCCTATGTTATGGATCGGTTTTTAAAAATTTTTTGCTGATTCGATCCAGAACAAATTTTGATCGTTCAATTCTGACGCCTCCTTATAATAATTTTGTTATATAACAAGTTTTAATGATATATCGATATTACAAGATAAAAAATTTGCTGCCAAACTTGTGTCAATTCTAAATTATATACATTTATAAATAGGTCATTTTAATATCGACATAGCCCTAAATAAAAGCATAAATTTGATAAATCAATCTGAACATATAACGTCAACTTTTATTTGAGTAATCTAGAAAAAAAATGTAATAATAATTGTGTGCAAGCTGTAAATTCAATTTTTTGTTGGCCCGAAGCTGATCCAGCTCGGAAAAGTTTAAAATGTCTAGGGGCCGAGTTCGAATTATACAGGACTTGTGTAAATAAAATCATTCAAATAACAAAATATACTTAAAAATTATTGTTTGAAATTTACTAAGTTCCCAAACAATTCCTAAAGTTTGGATTGAACCATTCCAAATGAAGAAAATAATCTTTCTACAGATGCTGATGTGATATGAAAGATTATTTGAATGAAACAAATATATATAAAGATTTGCTGACTTTATATCGTAAAGAGTGCCACTAGCTGATATCGTAACCACAATTATTTTTTTTTAAATTATATTTTTTTAACTAAAAAAAATAAGAAATAATATTAATTTTTTTTGATTCGTTATAATCATTTATTAAATTTTTTATTTTGTAATTTTTAGTAATTCATTTTATTAAATTAATTTCCGCAAGATGGCGTTTTTGACACAATAAGTTGTTTAAATATAAAATATTTGATGTTATTTTGAGTTATATATTATTTAGGTATCAGTCGGTGATATGGATAAAAAAAATATATCATATGAGTGCATCTTTACTAATTATGATCTTTATCCTGAATTCAATTTTCCTGACACCCAATTCAAGTTTTTTGACTTTATTTTATTTATAATGTTATGTACAAACATTAAGACATAACTAGCCTGGAATTTTGGCAAAATTTCTAAGATATTGGTGCTGTTATATAGAGAAAAAAGGAATTTGTCAATAATTGTATCAGCTCAAGAAATCTAACTATTCTTAAGGAAATTTTCGTAAAATCCAACTATTAAAGTAATGTTATGGGTTATTCATTATATATGATAAAAATAGAACTTGACAAAGACAAAATTTGAAAAATAAATATTTTAATGGTGTTATTATAACTTATAGAAACTACTTAGGCAAGCAACTTTATGTGCAACCTAATTGAGTGTTTTCGAAAAAAGGCAAACGTTTTATGTTTTTATTAATGTTTGTAAATTGTGATCAATTTACACGATACCATTTGAGAAACGCTCAATTAGGTAGCAATATTATTAAAAATATGGGCAGTGTTTATGGTACATTGTATGTTGTTAAATAAAAGGCTCGATTTAAGATTTTAGCCAAAATATTGTTACCTATTCCTCTAAATTTTGACAATAGATGTCCAAACCTTTCTGCTAGCTGTGGACAAAATCTCCAAGCATGGATAATATACTTTTGACTAAGTTAACCGTTTAAAAAAACACTAGCATAATGTAACTCATTCAATATTTTAAAATCATTTTCTTTATGGAGATAAAGCAATTTTTTTTAATCTTTAGCTACTCTATCTTTTAATAATTCGATTTTCTTTATAAGCATAAATATATTGAATTTTGTCCATTTATGAATTTATTACTATGAAATTATGTATAAAATAAGATATTAATTCTATGTATAATCATAATATAACCAATAACAATAGAAATATTGGATCAGATCAATTTTTTGAAAATATTGGCCCGATCCAATATTTTTTAAAATCGACATCCAACATTGAATTGGCACCACCTTATTAATAAATGAAATCCTGTTTGAAATGTTTATTAGTTACAAAATTGAAGACAATATTATATTTATAAATAAGATGATTGCCTTTAAGGTCTAATTGATAGTAAACTGGTGTTGCTTTATTTAACGTTATCAAAATCATAGTTCTTCTTGACCTTAACAATGGTAAATTGAGCTTTACTAATTCATATTTATAAATTATACCTATTTATTGGTTTAATTTTGTAAGTACAGCACCGCTTGAACATAACGGGTTAACTATAAATTAAGCCTAAACCTGCATTCACATTTAGAGCGAATTCATGGCGAAATATATAAAAACATAAAAATACAACATATTTTGTATAATTTGTTGTAAATTCTTGCTAACTGTGAACGAGGGGTCAAGCTTAAAATTAATTACATGGAACATAACTATAAAATAGGCTAAAATATAATGTTTAATTACACTAAAATTTCATTCTAAAAAAAATTTACTTGTTTAAATTTTTTGTTGTAATCTCTGCAAGCGGTCTCTATGGTAAATTTTTTGCTGAAGATATTGCATAATTTAGCTCCGTAACCGTTCCGCCCCCCGACGACCTTTTTTTCAGCGTCATCAAAATTGCTCGAAGTTAGTAAATGCCCGAATATCATGGCCGGAATATATATTTTCTCGGTTTTGTGCTCCGTCACTGGAATGCCTTTTCCGTTATTCCAAATCGAAATAGTATTCGTTTCTCTAAAAAAAAAAATCATAAATAATCCATCGTTATTCGTTTTCATCATTTTTTTTAAAAAATATGATATAAAATATTATAATTTAAATCCACGGTCTGTTATAGGGCGATATTCTTAAAATTGTGAAAGTAAAAAAGGAATTCATTTTATGATAAAGAGAATAACAGCTGGAATTGGGACAAATCTAGGATCTAGAAGCATTTCTTAAATAGTAATCAAACTCATTTTAGCGAAACCAGTTTTTTTAAAATGGTAACGAATTTACTAATCGTTCAAAATGATATCGTTCAATGGCTCAATGGCGCGATTCTATCGTTTGTGTCAAATATATTATTTTAGAAAATAGTGAAACAAAGCTGCGTATTTTTGTTTTTAAAACATTTATTTTGAATCAGGTATGCTAAATTTTTATTCATGCCATATTTATTGTGTAAATTTTTCTAAATATTGTTTAACAGGTATAAATCCAGAACCGGAAATCCATTTTAATTTTTTTTTAAAATTCGAATCAAAAAACCATTTTTTAGAATCTAGGATACAAGCTCGGATAATGATTTACTTAACAATGATCGTAAATTCGTCCACTCTGATTGGTCCATTTAATAGTTGCAAATTAAGATATATTAAATATTGTTAAAATATTACTTCGAAATATTTGATATAAAATGCTTAAATTGCATAAAATTTGAATTGATTATGTTGTCCTTTTTGATCGAAATGGACGAAAATACGATCAAAATCTTATGATCAAAGGAGGCCTTCCCAATTATTTATATTTATCAATATTTCTTTATATAGATATTTTGTCCCAGATGTTTATCATTTAAAATCGGATTGGTTACTATCAGTTAATATATGAATACCAGATTTTTTTTTATTACTTTCTGGATAATATTTATTTAAAACTTGAAAATAATAACACTATATTATTAGCAATAAAATCATCCTTAATTAATAAATTATGGACTAACACTAGCCTATCACATTGTATTAGTATACTAGACATATATATATGCAAGGGCCTGATATATGGCCTGGATATCAGATTGGAAATGTATAATTTAGTGATTTATGATATCTAAACTATTATATTCATTATTATAATTTCTAATCATGTAAAATATAACTGGTTCTTATATTAAATATTATATTAAGGCATACATTTAAAAATAATTAAAAAATAATTATGTATAAAATAAATAAATGCAATACAAAAAAAAATCCTCTCTAGATGAACAAAAATATTGAATACTGTCAATTAATTATATTTATTTACTGTTGAAGATATGCTAATAAATTTAAATATTTTTTAATGTTATAAAAATAATAATTTTTTTTAACAAAGTTAGATTATTATAAATATTATATTAATTTTATTTAAGAATTTTTAAGAAAAATTTGAAGGAAAGCAATGCTTCACTTGGTTCTATGGACATTTCATCACTGATGTATTATATTTAAAGAAATAGAACAAAACTTGGGGAATATTATAGAGCACTATGAACATGAATATAATAATATTTAGAATGGCTTATTCATAAATATTTGTTTTTTTCTTTTTAATTCTAGTTTGTTACACATAATATTATTACTCATTGCATCATTAAGTAATGTTAAGGATATAAAAAATATTGTTTCAGATCAAATTTAAAATATTTTTAACTGTTTATAAAATTAATATTATATTAAAAATGGATAATTTTATTTCCAAGTTACTGTTATTTGACACTCAGCTTGATACTAATACTACTGCCTAAATATAAATAATCTTATAGCATGTCTTAATTAATACTAAAGTCCTAATAACATACTTGAATTATATGTACTAATGAATAATAAAAAAATATATTAATTGCTATTTTATTAGGAATGCACTTTGGAATGTACTGGGAATAGAACAGAACAAGTTTGCCTGGAACAGGGACAGACAAATATGCATTTCTTTTGGATCATGGTATATTTTATATATTGTAAAATATATTAAATAACTTACATATCTATGTTTATTTTTATGCAATTCATTGTTTTATCTCTTATTTTGTTATCAGCTGCATTCACTATTTTAAAAAGAACTAATTTATGACATATTTTTAAAAAAATTACCTAAAATTTCGTCAAATATCTTAAAAAGTCCAGGGACATAAGTAATTTCTCGATTTATCAGTCCTTCATTTCCATCCCAAACCCACATTTGCTATTTAAATTATATTATAATAATTATATAAATATAATACCTGTGTAGTAGGCTCGATTGAACCAATATAAGTATCAGGTCTGAGTAATATATGCTCTAATTGAGTTTTTTTCTGATATATCCTTTCAATTGATGGCCTCTTTGTAACTTTTTTATCATTAACATTATCTGATTTATCTCGCTTTTGATTTGGCGTTATATCAGGAATTTGAGAAGGTTTCTTTAATAAACTGGATTTCATCTTCCCAGCCTTTGAAACCTTTAAACATATTTGATTAAATTTTAGCTCTAACTAATAAATTACATATTTTAAATAACGTTGAATCAACATATATAAATAGTAGGGATTTGAAATTGTGTTTTATTTACTCCATTTTTAATCTCTTGCGGTTCCCAAGCATCATCGTCTGAAGAAGATATTGAATTCATAAAATCGTTTGATATATTATGAAAATATGCTAATAACAGGCCATTAATCAAAAAAGCGCAAAAGATATAAAATATTTTGTAATATATCGGGGATTAAAAATTATTAAAATATTCTTAATAAAAAATTGTAATTTTATAAAATTTTGACGGTGAAAATAAACTACTAAGTAAAGGTGAATTTAAAGTTTTAAAATAGTTCATTATGGCATTTTATTTTTAAGTAAATCAATTTATGTAATGGCAATATGAATTATAAGAATAATAAATTTATTATATATAACGTTTCGACGAGATGCTAATATTCATTTTTAGAAGATATAAAATAACAATTTAGGCATTTTAAAAACTAAGTTTGCTAGTAATTATTAAAATGTAATTTCCCAGAATGATTACTTGTGGTCTTTTAATTTCCTGTGTATAATTTGGGGCTCTCCCCTTTCTTATATAAGAAGTTTTTAAGATTAGAAAAAGGACCTCATTTATTGTATCCTAAATTTGGGCCGGGAAAATTTTACATTATGAGTTTTATAATAAGCTTAAAAATTGATTTAACTAGTAATTAATTATTTAATAAATATGGACTAGTTCGCGATTAAAAAATGTGATTTCGAAATAGTTCGTTTTGTTTTTAGGTTAACAAGGTCTAAAAAATATATAGATTATAAACGTATAGGTAAAGTCTGCCTTTATTTTATCTTCAGGAGTGTTAATTTTATTTTGAAGAAAATTACGACAGAACTCAGTTTATTATGACATATATGGGGTTACATTTTAATTCTTTACTTATTAAAATGAAACAAAATTTATAATATTTTTTATCACATTTTTAAATGTCGCGTTCTATATAAAGCTTTTCAATTAATACTACATTTTATAAATATATACAACTAAATCATTATGTCTAAGCTATTGCAATATAGTTTTGATTTATTGATAGATGTAAATTAAATCGAATATGATTCCAGGATTAAATTATGAAGGTTTTAAAAATTTTATAAATATAATTTTATAATAAATAGATCAAAGTGATACAAGAGTTGGGCATAGAGATGATCTAATAAATCTTGTTAATGAATTTACAAATGGAAAGCATGACGCATTTGGTAAAAATTAATATTATGATTAATACTATTTATAATTCAACTAAGCTGTATATCCTATTGCATTAATATGATTTTGTTAATAAATTTAAAGAAGGAATAAATTCCTACCTTTTTATTACCACAATTAAATTTTGATACTTTTGTTTTATATTAATATTTTTGCTACTTTAATCTTTTTCAACCTCTAATTATTAGACATGTTTATTATATAAAAGAATAATCACTCATTTAACTTTTTGAACAAAGCTAATTGAAATTATATATGTGGAAAGAATGTTTATTTGTGGATATTATAAACTGTTGAAAATAAATTAATTTGTGAAAATTGTTACCTATGTTTTTAAAAATCCTATTCCAAAGCTCTTAAGTAGTACTGCTTTATATTTAAAAGAAATATTTAAATTAGGCTCTGCAAAATTAACTTAAATGGTTTAAAATTGTGTTTAAATCTTTTTTTAAAAATAAAACATATAAAAATATATTAGTGATCAAGATTTCGATTTAAAAAAAATAATAAAACTTAAACTATAATTTCTAGTTGAGATATAACATAGTATCTTCAATTATAACTGATACCAGTAACCAATACCCAAAAATTAATCCTTACAAATTAAAAAAATATATAGAAAATTGGAATACAATTATTTATAATTTGAACTGGGAAAAAATTGTTTACAAATTGCTAAACAGATTAGGAAGAATTTGCTAATAAAATTTTCCTAATTCTTTTTACTTTTGTTTTGAACTTAATATGAAGAATATTGCATCAAGATTGAATGACATTTTTATTGCTCCAATTGTATAACCTCAAAAAGAGTCATATTAGTTTAGTAAGGACAATTATTTGTTAATAGCATTCAAATAGTTTTATAAATTATATTCAATATTTATTAGTTTGGAATTTTGAATTAATTTCTGTACCCAAATGATTCTTAAATTTAATATAAATGACTACAAATCTGATGATGAGTGTTTTGCAAAAATATCAGGGTTGTGCATTTGACCGGTCTAATATGATTTGGTCAATTGACCAATATTTGACTGGTCAAATATGGTTAAATTCAAATAAATGTTTTCATGCTAATATTAACTTTATGTTGTATATATATATATAATATTATAATGAATCATAATATTAAATTTAATAGTATTTTTTTAGTTCATTCTATAGTTAATGTTTTGCCCTCCATGGCAGAGACCTGTCCTGATTCATATTCATTATCATTATTTTCTTTAATATTTTTAATCAATCTTAAGTTATGATATACTCTTACCAATTTTCCTGTTGTAGAAGTCTTCAATCAATTTCTGTTTTTCATATGAATATTCCCCAAACTGACCAATTTCTTTCTGAAAAAGAAGTCAAACTAGGGAATATTAGCTACTTCTCTTAATGAGCCAGGTGCATTCCACTAACTTGAGGCTGAAATCTGATTGTTTCTTATGGAAGTTACCACTTTCCACATATTTTGGCTATTAAATATGCCGCTTTTACTTCTCAAATTTATTATATCACTTAAAATATTTTGATTATCATCATCACCACCACCTTGTAAAATACCTAATTCTTGTATTATATTACATGCTTCATCAAATTCAATACTATTAAGATGCTCCCCTTATTAGGGGTCCAATAAATAAGCAGTTTTGTGAGCATGTATTTAGATCATTTTTTCTCTTTTCAAACTTAACTTTAATTTTTTTTTTCTTCAGGTGGAGAGAATTTAGAATCATGGCATGATTGTATCATGTGTTTTTCCAAATTAAGCATCCCGTTTTTACATGGGCCAAAATCCCCTTGCACCAACAATGAGGTAGCTAAAGGTTGGAGTATAGCTTAAATTTTTAAATTTTTCACCCAAAATATTTCTTCATTTAATATATTATTGGTAATTTATATGGGACAAATATCACATACAGCTTCTTCAGCACCTAATGTTTTCAGAGCTTTCTTACATATTTGTATTTGCCCCATACATTTTATTGACAAAGTTTTGTTTGGATAATTGTACTTTATGTAGATGGTATGTTGATTCTTATTATGGGAAAATACTGCAGCTGCTTTGTATTTATTCTTGAAAAATTTAACAATTTCTTTAATTATTGAAATATGGTAACAGAAGTTGTTCAAAATAGTGAAAGAATAACTGCAATGTATGCGCTGCATAACCATAACATTGTATAATAAATAGATTCAGATTTTAGAATTTTTCAGGCTACCTTTATGTTAACGGCATCATTAGTAACCAGAGAATATTCTTTTGCCAGATTCAATTCATGAATTATATTTTTAAATTTCTGGGCAATACAATTTCCGTATGGCGATTTTCCTCAGTATTTAATAATTTGTAGAATATTGGAACAGGCGTCATCACCATAAATTTAATAATTCTCTCGTTTCAGATGTTGCTCCAGCCCAATTTATAAGTGAGGAGATTTAATTTTTATATCTGCAACTCTCGCCTACATATCTCCTGACACTTTTGTATAGAAGATATCCAGCCAACTGCCTTTGCCTGGGTAAAGTGTAAATAGGACCTATTGTAGGGATTTTCAGTGGTCTGGTTAATTGCTCACATTTTGCAAACAATGTGCTCATTTTTTTCTTTGGGATTTATTCTATCTATGAAATCGGTTATACAAGATTGAGATTTACATTTAATCGCCTTGCTTGTAGATTGATCAGATATATGGAATCAAATTCTCCTGAGTCATAAGGCAAACTTTTTGGAAGCTGATCCGATCCGGTATTTCCTGTATTAAATTGATATCGGCCGATTACCGATCCGATATCATATCTAATTTTGTATTCTGTAAAGATACCTATGGTTTTAATTTTTAATATACTTTTTATTAGTATAACATCTATAATTTAATTATACTTATATATGTCATTTAAATATATTATAATGACTAGTTATATTTTAAATTCAATTGCAATTCTAAAAGTATATAAAATATTTTTATTGTTAAATCACTTTTATATAACATTAATCTATATACATAATAAGTAATAAAGAAATATATTAAATTTGAAATAAATATTTAAAATAATATTTAACATTAATATATCGAAGATTTCTTTTTTACCAGTTATATTTTATATTCAATTCAAATTCCATTCTAAAAGTATATAAAATATTTTTATTGTTAAATCACTTTTATATAACATTAATCTATATACATAATAAGTAATAAAGAAATATGTTATGAAATTTGAAATAAATATTTAAAATAATATTTCGAAGATTTCTTTTTAGAAATACCAAAATTTCAAATTTATCAGAGGTCAGCCTGCGCGATGGTAACTGTCAATATCACCAACTTCACTAAAAACAGATTCTGAAGAGTTTATCGCACACTTTTTTAAACAGAATGCGCAAAAAAATAACAATATGGCAGAATGTAATTATTATTATTAAAAAAAATATACATAAAAATGGATTTCGATTTTATTTATAAAAATAAATGATTTTAGATATAACTTTTTAAAAATTTTATTTTTGTTAAAGACGCCATTTTATATCAGATCAGATCGGGAAATTTTATAATATTGACCGATAACTAATATTTTAAAATGGGTGAAATATCGGCCCGATCCGATATAAAATATCGGTACATCCCTATTGATAATTATTCTCACTAATTTTACCCAATTCTTCATTAGAGCTAGAAGTATTACAAAATTACATTTGTGATATTTTTTGTCGAGGTTAATATTTTGGAATTTGAATATTTTTCCTTCATTATGACAGGGCACATAGTACAGCTGCTTAATAAATGCTTAACCATTTTATCAAAGTGAGTAATATAGGACATCTTGCAAAACCTGCATACCGCTTTAACTGATTTACCATCGCATACTTATTGAAAATGTTTCCAAACTTAATGCTTTGGTTTGACCATAATCCCTAATTTATTAAAATTCAACTATAAAAGATTTTGATGATTGTAAAATTTCAATCTTAATTATTTTATAATTATCGACCAATTATTTCAATAATTTGGCTTATATAGCTTTTTACTTGAATAAATTATTTTGTAAATCTGACCAGAACAACTAAAAAGATTACAATCAAATGTAGCAAGTAGAAGTAAAATAAATGAGAATTAATATAATTTATTAAAAAATAAACCATGACTAAGCTAAATTATTATATTTATTTATTTTATTATTAAAAAAAATTCTTTTATAATATATTATAAACTTTTTTAAATTTTAATATAAAATTTAATTAAAACGATTCCTTTTTATCTTACAAATATATTTTTAAATAAATTGTAACCTAATAATATTGATAAGCATGCTTTTAATGCATACTAGTTAATTATATCAAAATATTTATTTGCCAGTAATATTTTAGAGTATTTGACCGACATGCCAACCCTGAAAAATATTGTTTGTAACTAGGGTTACTGATATTTTTTATCAGATTGGGCCAATATTTATCCTTTATATAAGAACGGTTATTGGAGGATATTATAAAAATCCAACAAAATCGCGTCTTAATTTTTCAAAAAAAATTTTTCAAATTTCATAATATATTTATTTATTACTTATTATGCAAATAGATTAATGTTATTGTATAAATAAGTGATTTATCATTCAAAATATTTTATAAACTTTTAAATTTATGAATATTAGTCTTGTTAAAGGGCCTGATATTTATCATTTTAAATTAGCGCGAGTTTCAAAAATCTAATCAGCGGTCTGCAACATATATTTTTTTTAATTGTTTATTAATTTTTACACTTCAGATATCTCGATATATTTTTAGAACTTTATTTAATAGAAAACTCATAATTCAAAATCGATTTTGTAATTTTATTTAAATTTTCAATACATGATGATGATCTTTAAAATAACTGCCCAAAAATAATTTAAATAAAATAATCAAATAACTGCCCAAAAATAATTAAAATAAAACAATCACAACACTTTTTAATTCACAAGTTTCTTTATTTAATGTTTTCACAAGAAAAGAATTAATTTAATACAAAGAAAAAATAATTTTTCAATAATCCAATTTTTATCAATAATCCCATATTATTTATCTATTTTACTATGATTGACATTTCTAATAATTAATGTTTTAATATACACATATATATATATATATATTTCTACGATTACGACATTCTTGAATTCAACGTCAACTCAGCGGAAGAGAAAACTCTTTCACTAAGTGTGTTAGTTACCAGTACATGAGAAATTTTTTATGTAGCGCGGAAAATTTAAGAAGTTAGATCCTCTAATCCTTCCAGAAATTTAATCCATGTCTTGTGATGGCGTTTTCCGAGAAGAATATGGCATTTCTGTTCAAGATCACTTAAAGTGTGTTTAGTAGCTAATTTTGTCAATTATTTTGAATTTAATATTTCCTCTTAATTCTCAATCGCTATATTTTCTATCTTTATATCATCATACTCTATACGTTTAAGATGTTTTATTATAAATTCCGACTGTAATTTTGTTCACATTGACACAATTTTCAATTTTTAAAATCTGGGGTCTAGAAAAGATGCCAACACTTAGATTATTTTTGAAAAAAAAATTAATTAAAATATGAACAAACTTATATATTATTACTTGCAGATCACAAACCGGATATCGTAATGCAAGTTTTTTTTAGCATAGAAATTCAACTATTTCTTTAAATTTTAGAAAACGCTAGTAGCTCTATTACTATAACTGATTCATAGTTCGAGATTGTTTGAAAATCTTTTCAATCGTTATTAATTAAATTTATATTTGCTACAGATATGCTTTCAAGCATAATTAATATACTATGCCACCTGGTTGGGACATATAATTTTAACGTTTTCATGTGTGGCATTATTGTTATTATCATCATTGGAATCGCCAATTTGAAACGAGTATCAGAGTATAGATTAGTGCTATCAATATCTAGCATATCTAATGTTAGATATATTGTACATAGACATTTTCCTTGATCTGCCTCAAACTCTGCAATTTTATATCCTAGAGCAGTATAATTTCTCTTATTCATTTGGTAATATATTCAACAAAAGCTATTTAATACCATCCACTGTAACAATATTATGTAAATCATGACCCAAGCATAAGTGATGTTCATATTCACTTAATCAACTATCCTTTCTAAAATTGGGATGGTAACTTTTGGAATTTTAGATTTTTGACTGTTTATTTTTTTTAAATGATTTATTATATTAATATTAAATATAGAATTTAGTTGTAATTTTTATTTTTTTAAAAAATAAAATATTTTTTTAAGACTTATAAAAAAAATCATGCAAGAAGAATTTACTAGGAGCACCGTTTTCTTAAAAGTATGTCAGTAACTAACTAGACATATTGAAAAACGAATATATTAATTAAATAATAAATTATTAGGTTTTGATTCATCCAAAAGAATTGAATATAAATAATTTATTTCATCTGCATTCTTTTTTGAATAAACCGCCTACCCTTGGCCATTAATATTTTATTAAGAGTAACAGTTTTTAAACGGTTAAAATAAAAGTCCTCTTGAATAATTTTTTGGATTTAGGGTTTTACCAAAATCTTAATCCCCTTGATGTTATAGGATCCCAGACATGTTTAAATTCAAAATGCATGAAATAGTTTATGTACATATTATAGGCCTGCTAGCCCAGACCAAAACTCGCCTCAGGTATATGGATTGGCCCATATAATTTTTTAAAATAAATTTTTCTATAAACACGGGCTGGGCCAAAAATTATAAAATGTGACTAAATATGTAAACATTTTCAGCCATTACTACTCGACCCCCTCCTCCAAAAAATGTATACAAATATATCATTATAAAGAAGAATTTAAAAGAAAAATTAGTAAAAGTTAACTTTTAAAATAACGACTAATTCAAAATTTTTAGAAAAAAAAAACCGTTTTAATAAAAAAAATTAAAGACCGAAAATGATTTTTATGAAAATCTAATATAGGGCTTACAATATTTTCCCTCCACCTTTAGCAGTGTCCTGGATACACTTATGGTTATAATGTACTATTTATTGATTTATCTAATATTTCATTTTAAGTAATAAATGAGGGGTCCAAAAAATTATTAATTCATATTACCTTATTTAAATATATCCAGTAATTAAATTTAAATGACTTGTTTATTTCAATAATATCTTATATGGCATGTGCAAAATTGGTAAACGTTTTTTTTTGCATTAGGAAATGCAAAATAATATATCTACCTCTTTAAAAAATTAACTGTTCTTTTGGAAAAACACAATGCTAAAAAATTTCTAAATTTTTAACAACTATATGAGAGAAACTAAAATGTAAGTTTGCTTACATTTTATTTAGTTTAGTAAAACCGTATATTACCACCGCCCCATCTAACACTTTAACCTTATTTGAACTACTTTTTCAAGGAGTTGGTTTCAAAAAAAATTTTTGTCCCATGATGGGGATAGATTTTTAACAATCTGAGCATACCAAGACTTACAAATCAAATATGAATAATGCAAATATTCGATTTGTATTTTTGTAGGTATACTAAATCTGTAGGCCTAGCTGAGCAAATTTATTAAAATTTTGATGGATCAAGCAGAGCAGAAAATTTTTACATAAAAAATTAACAAGCTGGGTGGGACATTTCATACATATAAAATCAGGCTAGGCCTCACAAATCTCTGATTTAGAATTTGATTAATATTCTTTGAAATGACAATGAGCCTATTTTATTTTAAAAACTGCCTATATAAATTGATTCCATAATTGAAATAAATTATAAACTAGGCCAGACATTGAATTTCAATCTAATTTTATTTATTTAAAATAAACTACAACATGATTATTTTGTATTTTAAGAGCTGTTTAAAAATATTATAAACCTATAAATAAAGTCAGATATTAAAACACAATTAATTTATAAAATGGATAGTCATAGAGTAGAGATATAAGAGTCTTAATTGATATTGAGAAAAGAATAGATATAAACATTGAAAATTTCTAAAAAATTTAATGATATTCTAGAATTTTAATAGGTTGGGTGAGATATTTCATTAGACTTGACTTTTTGTAAAATTTTAACAGGCCAGGTTAGGATATTAGTAAAAAATTTATCAGGCTCAGTTGGGTTGGATAAACATTTAAATAATGGGATAGGTAGCTTATACAAAATTTTTCTATGAACCTAACCTTACACATCTCTGCTACTTATAAAGAAATGTTTATTTTTTACTGATAAAAATTACTGGCCAATTTTGTATTTAATACTGATTTCCATTTTAATTTTATACTGGCAAAAATGAAAAAAAATATATTGATTAAATATCTGAGAATTACAATAAATATTAGAGGTTTTATTTATTCACCTTTTTCTATACTATTATCATATTTTGTTTTTGTAAAATAATTTTTTAAGCATTTCAAATAGAATTACAAAATGGTTTGCAGATATAAATTTATAAAAAATTAATCATTATAATTTAAAAAATAATATAGTATATACAAATATATAATGTTATATGTTATAGGTCAACATTTGTATGACAAAATGAATCAAATAAGAGACCAACAAGAGCAATTAGTTCAGAATCATTTTGATTTTAGTTTACAGCAAAATATGAAAGAATATGATATCAACAATACTCGAATAAAATCAGAAGAATTTATAGATAAACTGATGAAAGGGTTAAATAATGTCAGTAATTCTTTACATCAACTTTGTGAATTTAAACCTACAAGTGATAAAGACTAAAGAATGTTGTAATCATTGTTATAGTAATTAAAAATAGCATTATAAAATTTTAGATAAATATTTAACATATAACAATGATATCAATATTATAATTTCCAACAATATAACACCATAGAGTATATATTTATTTGTGACTGTGCTAAATTATATATTATAAGTTGTTATAGTAAATATATACTTCAAAAACACTTTTCTTATGTATACTTGACTTTTCAATAAATCTTGATTTGTTTGTTCTGCCTAAAAATATTTATTATTAAGCTAATATTTAATGTGAACTTTTTTTTGAGTATTTAACAAACTTTCCTTTTGACAATTTAAATCTTCAGTTATCTGATTGGCAATCTGTGAAGTTTCATCAGCGATTCTACACGATCTTAAAACACTATCGTTGGTGTTTCTAATCAGATTCTCCATGAGAATCAGGTTTTAAAAAATTTAATATCAGCTGATTATGCGTCAAGGTTCGTGCATATTCCGAAGTATGATGAAAAGCGACATATGCCAAATAGACATTTTATAAAATTTAAAATAAGTTCAAATAATAAATTTCGTACTAAATACTAAATTTTTATTAGGCATTATAAATTATGCTTACGAAAACTGGCTTTTCTAACTTTTTAAATTTTTTACCTGACAAATGTGGATAATTTCAAAATGTAATTTTTTTATATATTATATTAATTGTATATATACTTTAAGGCATGGGATGATGCCATAACAAAAATTTTTCCTCGCATGATCAATTTTATGAAATCAGGTTCATCTAAACACAAAAAAACTTCCTCGGTCAATTAAATAATTACTACATATAAAAATTATAGAGCTATTCTAACAAAACGTACAGCAACTAATTTTGTCCTAATATGATAATAATACTGTAATATGCCGAAAAATAACATCTAGTGTCAGTTTTGCCACAAGAACTAAATTTTGATGGACTTAGCAATAATAAATTTGTTTCATAATTGAAATAATAAAAAATTCTATAAAAGCTACTTTTGGTATTTGGAAGAAGACTTTGTATTCTTAATCAACTTTTTGAAATAAATTATTTTTATATAATAAATTCCGTAAGTGTTCAAATTAATTATTAAAGTTTAAAAAAAAAATTAATTTAAGAATAATATAAACATAAAGTAAGTATATTATAATTAAGTTTTTCTAATATTAAACAATTTTATAATACACAAATTGGCTTAATCGGAAATACTTAAATGAGAAAATGTCACCATTTTGTTAAAATTCGCTGTGGTGTAATGTTAAATATATTTTTAAGTGCAAATCCTTTAAATGCGAAATTTAGGATAATTGTCAAATTTTTAGGGCTCATTTTTACTAATTCTATTTTTTCCGCATAAATGACAAAATATAGCTTCGGTTTTTGAATTCGAAATTAGTGCTAAGTAGTTAAAAAAAATTATGAGTATCATTTTCACAGCTGATTTCATGAATAGGGTTCAGGGCTGCCATCTCTCCCTCCATCAGCGGGAGACTCCCGTAATTTTTTATTTTACACGCAGACATCTCTCCCGCAAAACTACCGCAATTGGAAATCTACCGCTATTTTTTAATTTCTCCCGCATTTTTTTTTAGTATTTTAACATTTTTAATATATAAATAATAATTTTGAGAGACATTAATTGATGAGTTTTAAAATAATTTTAAATATTTATTCGAAAAACATGTCTAGTTTGTAAATTTCTTTCTATCCTGTTTTATTTTTATCCAATAATAAATCAACATCATTTCATTCATATAAGTCAGTACAGGGGTCAACATTGATTGCAATACAAAAATATTCTCAAATAATAAATAATACAGATGCAACTACATTTGCGGAAATCGTATACATCTATCATGTAGTTCAACATTCACAGAGCTATATCATCACAATGTGGGTCGAATCTTTTTATCATGATATTTAACGACTCCAATATAAGTTCAAACCTTACTTGTGGCAGAACAAAAATGGGCAAGGCTATCACAAGTGTTTTAGTATCCTAGAGGTCAATTCTAGACGATTTGAAAGATGGGTATCCATATTCAATTCTAACAGATGCATCTAATAAGGGAAATATTAAAACATTTTCGTTGATCCTTCGCTATTTCAACAAGAATAGCAACATTTCCATAAAACTGTTAAAATTTTTCCTCGGATAGTGAAAAATCCAACGATGTAGCTAGCCACATAATGATAAATATAGCTGATTCAGGGTTATGATTTGCATGTCAGCTTTTTGCGCTGATAATGCCTCTGTAAATTTTGGCAAAAACCAAAGTTACCGAATTGAGGCAGCACTAGTGTTGTTAATTAGTCGAGTTCTTTCGACTACGACTAATAGTCGTAGTCATGGAAATCGACTAAAAACTTTAGCGACTAAATTAGTCTATTAGTCGACTAATTTGATCGTCTAAAACGACTAATTAGTCGACTAAACGACTAATATAGTCGACTAAACGACTAATATAGTCGACTAAACGACTAATATAGTCGACTAAAAGACTAATATAGTCGACTAAAACGACTAACATAGTCGACTAAAACGACTAATATAGTCGACTAAAACAACTAATTTAGTCGACTAAGTTGATTTTTTTAGTTAGCAGCATATATAGGTTAAAGGTAAAAATATATATCGTAAACATATTAAGTTAAAATTTCAGTGAAGATGTACCATACAAAAGTGACAATTGTCATAATCGTTATTTTTGAACTTTTTTGAATTTTTTCAAAGCAAATAGGTAAAAATATATATTGTAAAGATGTTAAAATAAAATTTCAGTAAAGATGTACCATAGAACAGTGACAATTGTTATAATCGTTATTTTTGAATTTTTCAAACAGGTAAAAATATATATTGTAAACATGTTAAATTAAAATTTTAGTGAATATACCACAGAAAAGTCACAATTGTCATAATCGTTATTTTAGAACTATAATTTTTTTAAAGTAAATAGGTAAGAATATATATTGTAAAGATGTTAAAATAAAATTTCAGTGAAGATGTACCATAGAAAAGTGACAATTGTCATAATCGTTATTTGTTAACTTTTTTGAATTTTTTTAAAACAAATAGGTAAAAATATATATTGTAAAGATGTTAAAATATAATTTCAGTGAAGATGTACCATAGAAAGGTGACAATTGTCATATTCGTTATTTTTGAATTTTTTTAAAGTAAATAGGTAAAAATATATATTGTAAAGATGTTAAAATAAAATTTCAGTGAAGATGTACCATAGATAGGTGACAATTGTCATAATCGTTATTTGTGAACTTTTTTGAATTTTTTTAAAACAAATAGGTAAAAATATATATTGTAAAGATGTTAAAATAAAATTTCAGTGAAGATGTACCATAGAAAGATGACAATTGTCATAATCGTTATTTTTGAACTTTTTTGAATTTTTTTAAAGTAAATAGGTAAAAATATATATTGTAAAGATGTTAAAATAAAATTTCAGTGAAGATGTACCATTCGTTATTTGTGAACTTTTTTGAATTTTTTTAAAACAAATAGGTAAAAATATATATTGTAAAGGTGTTAAAATAAAATTTCAGTGAAGATGTACCATAGAAAGGTGACAATTGTTATAATCGTTATTTTTAAACTTTTTTGAATTTTTTTAAAGTAAATAGGTAAAAATATATATTGTAAAGATGTTAAAATAAAATTTCAGTGAAGATGTACCATAGAAAGGTGACAATTGTCATAATCGTTATTTTTGAACTTTTTTGAATTTTTTTAAAGTAAATAGGTAAAAATATATATTGTAAAGATGTTAAAATAAAATTTCAGTGAAGATGTACTGACAATTGTCATAATCGTTATTTGTAAACTTTTTTGAATTTTTTTAAAACAAATAGGTAAAAATATATATTGTAAAGATGTTAAAATAAAATTTCAGTGAAGATGTACCATAGATAGGTGACAATTGTCATAATCGTTATTTGTGTTTTGAATTTTTTTAAAGTAAATAGGTAAGAATATATATTGTAAGGATGTTAAAATAAAACTTAAATGAATATGTACCATAGAAGAATGATAATTGTCATAATCGTTATTTAAAATATTTTCGAATTTTTAAAAGTGCTAACGGATCTTTGAAAAATTTTAACAATAAGAAGGCTAACAAACTTTTAACTTTTATTTTTCATTTAAAATTCATTAGATAAACATTAAAATATATATTCTTATAAAAAAAATTTTAAATACCAGATTATCGATAACTGTTTCGGATGTTATAGTCGGAAAAATTAATGAGTTAATAAAAATACTTGTAGGATTTGATTACAATTATTTCGTCCTATAATTGATAAAATTATAAACATCAGAACTGTTTTTTTCTGCGAAAAGAGAACTTATTTTGGATGTATAATATTTACTTCCTACATTTTGATGAAAATAATAGTAAAGGTATTTCTAAAAAGGTCTTGGAAAAACTTACACAATTGGCAATATCATCATTTAAATCGAATATTTTTTTTTACTAAATTTTGAAATTTTTAGTAAGGGTGAAACTAAATAATTTATTTTTTATTAGATGCTTAAAAAATTTGAAGAATGGGCATATTTATATTTATATGGGGGGCGAACGTGGTTTAAATTTTTTTATATGGGCAGGGCAAGACGAAAAGTCTATAAAAATTATTTAAATTTTTATTTCACATTTTTTTACTAATGATTAAATATCGCTTCAATAACTAAAAATTCTGCATTCTTTATGATAAAAAAAATTCAAAAGAAGACGCATTTAATTTAATTCAATTTATTAATAAATAAACGTACACATAATATAAAAATATTTTCATTAATACGCGGAAATATATATTTAAAAAATGTTAATATAATATCATTATAAAAGTTCTATGTCCCAGCAATCAATAGATAAACATTGCTTCAAAGTGATGGATGAAAGGCGGTTACTTTTTAGTCATGCATTCCACCGCTTTGCTAAAGATTCTTTCGCTGGCAACACTCGTAGTTTGCTGAGCCAAAAAGTCTCTGGCCATTAAAGACAAAGTTGGATATATTGAGCTGTTTTTTTGCCACCAATCGAGTACATTGGTTGTCGGACTAGCTACTTCCTCTTTTAAATATGTATCTATTTCATCTGTGGCATGTTGTGGAATTTCATAATTAGCCCTAAATAATAAAGACAATATATATATAACTATGTAATCATATTTACCTTCTTAGTTTA